AAAGCTGCTCTGGGCATGGACACATGGATACAAGGAGGAAGTACAGACATTCTATGATGTTTGAACCATATACGGGCATCCTGGGAGATGATTAAATGAGATATAGATAGGAAATCAGTCATGGTCACAACTGGATACATAGCAAATAATCAATTTTCACAATGCTTTCTACAGCATTACTATCCCCAGAGGGTTAGAGAAGTGAAACAACTCTACCATGACGGTAAGCTGTCAAACAAGGTTAACTACCTTAATATTTCAACTCTTTAACATTAAGGAATGGGACTGTGCTACCTTTGCAAACTATCCTGAGAAAGGCAGCTCGTAATTTTTAAAAAAAATGTGTTTTCATCAGTCATGTTGATAAAAAATGTTCATATATATTTCATATATATTTCACATTTATATAAAACAATTATTTTACTTCTTACAAGGACAGAATTTAGCCTTTGATCAAGGACACAGAGTCATAATTACGTAAACACATTGGTATGGTAGTTCTCTACCTTAAAGATCACCTAATTCAAATATCTCATTTTATAGACAGAAAACTAATGTCCTATGAGATTTTGCAATCTGTCCAAAGTCACACAGTAGGAATGTCCTGTGATTACCACACACCATGCTGCCACATATACCAGTACTACTGTACTATGCTAAGCACAATTTAGTAAGATAATCAAGACTTACAGGCAGGACCCCTTGTTATTTCCCCCATCTTTTTATTTGTACTATCCCCTCTTTTTTCCATAATTTTTAGCAATACAATCCTTAAAACAAAAAGGATCTATGTGTTCATCCTCTGCATTTGGAAAAAATGCTCATCTATTCCACAGCTTATCTTAGGGAAAGAATTCCAAGAGATAAAGTATGTGGTGTGTTTTTAAAAAGGGACACAAGGGCCAGCATTGTAGCACAATGAGTTAGGCCACCACCTGCAATGCCTGCATCCCATAAAACACAGGTTCTGGTGCCAGCTGCTCCACTTCCAACCCAGCTCCCTACTAATGTGCCTGGGAAAGCAGTGAAGGATGGTCCAAGTCCTTGGGCCCCTGTCACCCACATGGGAGATCTGAATGGTGTTCTAGGTTACTGGCTTTGGCCTGGCCCAGACTCAGCCATTCCAGCCATTCGAGGAATTAACCACTGGATGGAGAATCTCTCTCTCTCTCTCTGCCTTTCCCTCTCTATCACTCTGCCTCCCAAGTAAATAAAATAGGTCTTTAATTAATTAATAAGGAAGGGATGCAGATGGAATCTCCATGTAACCTACAGAAAGCAAGAAAGATGCAAAGGCCTACAATGTCTTAAGAACAGCTTTGGAGATGTCACTATCAGGACACACACACACACACACACACACACACACAAATCTTGAGTAGAGGCAATATAGGAAACTTCACAAGCACAGGGACCAGATTCTCAATAAATGTGGGTTCAGTACCCTGAACAATGAGTGTGTGTCAGTACTCTTAACTGGTACAAGCCGTTGGGGTGTTTGATGTAGGTCTGTATTTTAGGTGTTCATCTCTCCTCTTTCCTATATAGAGATATGAACTGTCTCTTAGGCATCCCCAACAGTCTTGGAGAGAGAGTAACACCACTCCCTGTTATCATCTAATCAGATGGTTCTAATATGCTCTGAGCATACTAGAATTATTTCCAAATAAGACTATGTTCTAAGACCTGAGGGATCCCCTTATGTATAAACATGTCGATATCATCACAAAACTCTTACAACTTCCAACTTGCTTGTTCTGCTGAGACGCTATGTTATTGGAACTATTTTTAAACTGAAACCAATGATAACTTTCTACAACCCATAAAATTATCAAACATTACCATTCAAGTGCCTTTTAAAACAGCAAAATATTCTAAGAATGACAATTGTGTACCAAAACTAAAGACCACTCTCTAGACACTTATCACTTATTCATGTTTGCCCTCTTCCTTGACTCCAGTCAGCCTTCCTTCTTTATTCCACATTTTCTTCTATTTTCCACAGTTCAGTGCTTTATCTGATTCCTCAGTCTTGGAGTGTTCAAGAGATCATCCTGTATTTTCTGATCAGAAGGAAGTGGGATTAACTAAGGAATTACATCATGCAAACTTTAATTTTCCAATAATCTCTTGAATATACAACCTAAGGAATAACTTTCATTTTGTGTTTCAGAAAGTGAGAATACAAATTAATCAAGGTAAAAGGGATTTGGCCGGCGCCACGGCTCACTAGGCTAATCCTCCGCCTTGTGGCGCCGGCACACTGGGTTCTAGTCCCGGTCGGGGCGCCGGATTCTGTCCCGGTTGCCCCTCTTCCAGGCCAGCTCTCTGCTGTGGCCCAGGTAGGCAGTGGAGGATAGCCCAAGTGCTTGGGCCCTGCACCCCGTGGGAGACCAGGAGAAGCACCTGGCTCCTGCCTTCGGATCAGCACAGTGCGCAGGCCGCAGCGCACTGGCCGCGGCGGCCATTGGAGGATGAACCAACAGCAAAAGGAAGACCTTTCTCTCTCTCTCTCTCTCTCTCTCTCTCTGTCCACTCTGCCTGTCCAAGAAAAAAAAAAAGGTAAAAGGGATTTTAAAATATTAGCCCCAGATGATTCTACCTGATGAAACAATTGTCTCGATGTTTGAACGAGAACTAAATCTGCTAAACAAAAAATTATACTTGATAGCCTATTCATGTTTCTGATACATGCATGATTAATTTTGCTGTTTTTCATAAATCTGAATTCACGAAGCACTGTTTTTTCTATGATTTACTCAAAGTGGCACTTTTTTATTAAAGCAAGTGCATTTGAAAGACTACTTTCAGTAAAGCATTTCAAAAGAAAACACTACAAAAACATTAGAAAATAATTCCAATTGAGTAATGATTGGCAATGTTATAATCATTTTATTTGGGAAATGACACTTTAATCCAATGTTTCCATTTTGACATACTTAAGTTCCTTATCATAAACAAAGTTCTTTATCATAAATTCAAACAATGTGTATGACAAAAAAACCAAGAATGTTTAAGCAATATGAAAAACTTTTAAAATTAATTTCAAGTAAGTTCTTCCCATCCATTGAAAATTAAGCTTACACTCACTGGAATAAATCTAAAATCAATCATTCCTAAATATAAGAGATGTCTCTAAATGCAATTTTCTGGATCACTCATAACATCTTCCTACTTTTACTGTAACACAGTCCCAACAGGATGATATATTCTATATTTTCAACTGTATCAGAAGGCATAATATTCATTACATGATTCAAGAATTAACACACATCAATACAAATTTGAATCCACGTAAGAAAAATTAAGCACTCCAAGTTCCTAAGTAACAAAAAGCCAAGCATATAGAACTCCAGTACAGTATAACAATTATTCTAAAATGGATACTGTTGTCAATATTAGCGTAAGAAAGAAAAAAAATGAATAGGACGTTGGCTGATTTCAGTTCTCATCCAACATCTGTTCATAGTTACAGTTAGGTTGTCTGCAGCCAAGTAGTTATTTTCAGGCTGGGAATGAACACTACTGCTATTCTGAGAACAATTAATTACTCAGGTAAAACTAGTAGAGAATTTTTCGTTAGACAACACCTTAAAGGCTATCTAGTGTATCCTCAAATTCAAAAACAAGGTAACTGCGGCTCAAAAATTAAGTGCCTGGGCTCTCCCAATTCATGCAATTTACCTAGCTAGTTAACAGCCAGACAATTATTTCTAATAACAAGGAACAACTGTGAGAGTAAGAACAATGATTCTCCTTCTGGGATGGAATGGGCCTTTGGGCATTTACCAGCTATGTGATCTTGAGCAAATTACAACCCACCCAGGTTCGCTATTGCATTTCTGTGAAATGTAGAGAATGCCTACTCAAACAAGGTTGTTGTGAGGATTATGTCTGGCTTGCAAAATGTTTAGCACACTGGTTAAAAAATAATAAGCATTTGAAAGCAGGTAGCTATCATTTTTATTCCCCCTCTCTGGAAACATGGCTACTACTGTTTTAGAAGAAAACGTACTCAATTCATTAGCACAATGGTTAGGGTCCCATCTATCAGAGCTTGTCTTGGCCTACCATCCTCTACAGACAGGGAGAAAACCCCACCCAACAACTTATTTCACCCCATCTGAAATTTATTCCCTACATTGTTTAGAAAAACAAGATGCAAATTGCTGCCAAATGTATTCTGCTATGCGTTTTACATTGAATTTGTCAACTAGAAAATGTAGAGGGGTTTCTGACTCCACCCAAAACATGGAGAAGCAGCCATGGAAAAACAAGGGAAGATAAGGTACACCTGAACTGTAACTCAGGCGCTTGCTTTCAGTATATTTAGTTGTGGGTGGATAAGTGGATGGTAGAAAGCAAGATACTTCCTTTCAGCATCATAACGCAGGAGTAATGGCTACCTCTACAAAATCCAATTAATTCCCTAGGCTTCTGAACACAATGGAAAACAATCCATTTCCTTTTCCTTAGCAAATCTGTATGTACACGGGCAATAACTGAGCACCTTTCTTTGTAAAATTGAGGATTAAGCTTCTCCTAGCTGCATTGCACGCTAGGATCACATAGTTATATTTAAAAGTCGTATGAAATGGCAAGACAGAATGATGGGAAATATCACCTTGAAATCAAGAAGGAGGTACTCATAATGTCATGCCAAAGGTGTCTCCACTGATAAAATCCCAACCCTCCATTCTCATGACACGGCAAACCCACCCGCCTCTAAGGAAATTAATAGGAATCACCGCAGCAACGAACCTCAGCAATCGGCATCGACCAGATCGACCCCTACTCAAATGGCGCTAAGTACCGCGGGTCCAAGCCCCTCCCTGGAGCTGCCAAGTTCCGCGCTGACTCCAGACTACCTCACTTCCTTTCCGTTTTCCCTCCCGTGTTCGACCCCCGGCATTTCTCGCCAACCCTCGCCACTGACAGAGAAAGTAGGAACAAGACAGACTCCCTACACTTTGCCCGAGGAGTACCAGGGCCACACATACCCGTCCCTATTACGATCACATCAAACTCCGAAGGGAGATTGTCCGCCATCTTGACAGGAAACGTGTCATGTGACTAGTGCTTGTGGAAATGAGATCAAGTCGGCATTCCCTGAGTAGAAGACGGAAGGGAGAACAGTGCATTCTGGGTATTGTAGTTCCTGGGTGGAGGGTCCCGGTAGGCGTCTACAGCGTTATATTTGAAATATTCACGCAAATATTAAAAGGTCGATTCATTTTCCAGGCTGAATACAGTAGCTCGTTGAGCCGGGAGGTTTGAAGTAGGGGAGAGATCTAAATTTTTATAACGCTGGGTAGGATGAACTTAGGCAGACTTGTGTGCCCCTTGACAATGATGAAGCGAGATTGTTAGAAAACATCGAGGGCGGAGTGAAGTTGAAAGGGGCTCGCTCTGCGAACAAAGAAGATTTTAGCTCCAACCTAGAAAGCTGTTTCCCCCAACATTTCTGTACTTTTGTTTCGACCCCCGAAACTTGGTTTTTCACATCAATACTTTCGAACTACGTTCCCTGTCTTGCTCATCTCTGTTTCCCCCAATGAAAACCCCCGAAAAACCTCACACCCTAGTTTCGCCTGAATGGAACTCTCACCGCATCCACATCCGTATCTGTTCTAAAAGTCCAAACAGCCACCCTGGCGTTATATGTATTTAAGAAACGACCCATGCTTTACAGGAAGGAACAAAAATACGGAAGCATAGTAGATGGGTGATAAGTGTTGAGTCTGAATTTGATTTTCCGCACGAATAAAACGAGTCCATACAAGAGTCTTCTAATAAGCTACTGCAGAAATAATTGAGTTAAACTGGCCTTTATATTAAAGTTGCTGAGTCTGATGATAGGCTCTACGTTGTCTATGTGAAGTGGCTAACATAGCTCTCACGAGTATTTTCAAGGTCTGTCACCTCTCACTTCGCTTTATTTAACGCTTTGCTATCTGACAACACCAAAGCAAAGGGGGGGGGGGCGGTGCATGCGGCAGAAGTGGTACTTTTTTTAAATCTCAGAAATTGCTTCCATGATTTTGCAAGAATTTTAAAGAGGATGCAGTCATGAAACTTTCCTTGCACCATCTGTCCTGTGAGCTACTTGTAGTAGTCCCCAGACACATAGTTTTCTCTTCCTGTTAGTGATCATGCTCACGTTTGTTGTTCCTTCAGCATGGAATGCATCTGCCCATTCTTTGGATAGCATATAGCCCCAAGATTCTGCTCAATTTCTGCCCCCTCCTCCTCTCAACTCCTTACTATATTAGGCTGTTTCACTATATAGTGATACTACCCTTTCATAGCATGTTGTATTTGCACAAAGATTGTTTGCATTTCTGTCTATTATGACAGAGTACACATATCTTTATAATCCACAAAAAATACCAGACATACAAGACCATAACTTACAAGCCCAGAGATCAATTCTTGTTTATCTTTTTACCACCCTGCACCTAACCTAAGTCTGGTGCATAGTAGAAGTTCAATAAATAGCTGCTGAACTGAATTTGGGTCTGACTCCCGCAGACACATGGCAAAGCATTGTGAGGACACGGACTCCCTTGTGTTTGCCTTTATTTCACATCTGCCCATCACTATCATGTCTTCCATGTTGAAAATGTTCAATATGTTTGTTGATTTTGAAAAAGACCCATGAAAACTCTTTAGAAGTGTATTTTGCTAGGATTTTTGCTGCTTTTCTGTTGTGTCTTGCCATAATTTTTAACAATATTTTACATGTTTCATTAATTTGTTTTATGGATTACCCTCTTGTTTTAAACAATTCTCTTGTGATATGGTTCTTTGATGAACTTTCATGTAAAAGAGATTCCCCAGAGAAGCATAATTTATTGTTCATTAAGTCACTCTGTGATTTGTCTTGGTATGAAAAAAATGTTCAGTTTTATCAGAACTGAAATAGGTCTTATCTCTGAGACATTTGACACACAAGTGGAAATGGAAATTCATAGATTCCCCAGGATAAAAAGGGAAACTTTCCAAAATCTTTCCTAGCAGTGAGAAGCCTCAGATGAAATGGTTAAAAACATGACAAACAAAAGTAGTTCTATTTTACCTTGGTAATATATGTATATGTATAATGTATATATTATATCCTTTTTGATATGGAGATTCAATATGGAATTTTTAACTTTCTAGTGATTCTAAAAATGTTCTGACAATAGCACCGTGAAAATGCAACTCACTAATTAATTTATTCTTCAAATATTCATTGAGCACCTAACACTGGTTTAGATACCAGGAATATAGCAATGAACAAAAAAAGACCAAAAAAAAAATCCCTGTTTTCATCTAGTAGAATGAAATAAAATAAACAAGTAATTACTCTGTAGTCTTAATTATCCACTGGGTCCTGCCTCAAATTTGAAACCTCCTTTTCCCCCCCTGAGGATAGAAATCATGATCCTCAGAAAGATAATATCTTCAAACTTTATGTAGCTATTCTTTCTCCGAAGTTATCATGTGACTCATTCACAACCTCTCTGGGCATGAAAAAGAATATTGGGAAAAAAGTAAAGCCTCTGCATAGAGTATCTCTTATTTCAAATGTTTTTTTCTGTAGATTTTACAAAGTAAAGATGAATATAGGAATTGATAGTGTTAGTATAAACAGCATAAAGCAAAACAGCCAAATTGCTGTCTATTTTATTATTCGAAGGCTATCTATTTTTGAGAGCTAAAATAGTTTATTTGGGTAAATCACAGCAATAAGATAATGGATATCTAAGAACTGACTACCCTATTAAATCACTGTGGCACTAATTTTGTACTTAATGGTTCCCTGAGTTGAAAAACCACAATTCCCTGAACATTTACATTGTATTCAGAAGTTTACTCAACTGTAAGATCTGACTATTAGCTTTTTACAAACCAGTAATTTAATGGTCTCTATCCCTGGGGCCTTTCCTTTGAGTTCCAGATTCATGTTTCCAACTCCTTATTCAACATCTCTTCTGAATGTGTCCAATACCAAATTTTTGAACATTCCAATACCACTCCCAAAACTGTTTTTTTCTTCATTTAATGTTCCCAGTCTTAGAAATACAACCATCTTCTACTCAGTTTCTCAAGTCAAAAACCCAGGAATCATCCTTGACAGATCATACTTCCTTTTACCCTGAACCAGTTCATCAGCAACTCTCGGCATATGTCTTGCCAATATGTCCACATCTGTCGATTTGGATTGCCTCCTTCATCTCTTTCCTAAACTACTACAATAGGTCCTAGCTGGATGCTTCATTCGTGTTTACTTCTCTCCAATCTATTGTCCACATTGCACACAGATTAAACATTTTAAACTTAAATTTGGTCATGTTTTCCTGAACCCAAAACTCTTCATGATTTCCCTTTTCCTTAAAATACACTCCAAAATTCTAAATATGATCTAAAAGGTCCTACTGGGGCTGGCACTGTGGCGCAGGGGGTTAACACCCTGGACTGAAGCGCAGGCATCCCATATGGGTGCAATTCAAGACCCAGCTGGGCTGCTCCACTTCCGATCCAGCTCTCTGCTGTGGCCTGAGAAAGCAGTAGACCCAGAAGAAGCTCCTAGCTCCTGGTTCCGGATGGGCCCAGCTCCAGCTGTTGTGGCCATCTGGAGAGTGAACCAGCAAATGGAAGACCTCTCTGTCTCTCTGTCTCTGTCTTTGTCTCTGTCTCTCTCTCTGCCTCTCTTCTCTCTGTGTAACTCAGACTTTCAAATAAATAAATCTTTTAAGAAATAAATAAAAGGTCCTACTTAACTCTCTAATTTCATATCATGACACTTCCCATTCTTTCTGTAAACTCCAGCTACACTGGTTTTTCCTTCATTTCCTCCAACAGCTCATATACCTTCCTAATTTGGTGCCTTCACACACTTTTGTAGGTCTGTACCTTTTTCCTTATTCCCCTCTCTCTTAGCTTAATGCTGTCATCCTTTACAGTTAATCTGAAATGTCATATAGCTTGGCAAGTCTTTGGACCCCAGCCTGGATTTTGTTTAACTAACTTATCATGATAGGAAGTATCCAACTAATTTATTTTTTATTTTTTTATTTATTTGACAGATAGAGTTAGACAGTGAGAGAGAGAGAGAGACAGAGAGAAAGGTCTTCCTTCCATTGGTTCACCCCCCCAATGGCCGCTATGGCCTGCGCTGCACTGATCCGAAGCCAGGAGCCAGGTGCTTCCTCCTGGTCTCCCATGTGGGTACAGGGGCCCAAGCATTTGGGCCATCCTCCACTGCCCTCCCTGGCCACAGCAGAGAGCTGGACTGGAAGAGGAGCAACTGGGACTAGAACCCAGTACCCATATGGGATGCCAGCGCCGCAGGTAGAGGATTAACCTAGTGAGCCACAGCACCGGCCCCTCCAATTAATTTTATAATAGAAACAGGTTTCATTCTCTAGAAGGTAAGTTCCACAAAAGCAAGAGCATTTAAAGTTAAATGGTTTCCTTACTAGAAGATTCTTCAAATCTTTTATAATAAATATACATGTGAATTGTTGGGGTGTGTAAGAGAAAGGAGAGACAGGACAGGAGAACTCTTCTTTGGAAAAGTGCCACCAGGCTAACCAGTGTGTTTTCTTTATAGGTAAGGATTATAACAGTCTATTATACAGTGCATGCCTGTGTTCATATAACTCAAAGATTTCTTTAAAACATGTTTAGCAAGACATATTAGATAAGCATGTCTGGGAAAGTAGTGACATGTCCTTGTGAAGCCAATGTTTCCACAAGGGCTCAATGCCTTTTTTTTTTTTTTTTTTTTGACAGGCAGAGTGGACAGTGAGAGAGACAGAGAGAAAGGTCTTCCTTTGCTATTGGTTCACCCTCCAATGGCCGCCGCAGCCAGCGGTGCACCGCACTGATCCGAAGGCAGGAGCCAGGTGCTTCTCCTGGTCTCCCATGGGGTGCAGGGCCCAAGCACTTGGGCCATCCTCCACTGCACTCCCAGGCCACAGCAGAGAGCTGGCCTGGAAGAGGGGCAACCGGGACAGAATCCGGCGCCCCGACCGGGACTAGAACCCGGTGTGCCAGCGCCGCAAGGCAGAGGATTAGCCTAGT